TTTTTCTCATTTGATTTTTTTTTTAAACTCATGATTTCCAATGGACCAATAATTTTCCTATCTAGTTAATTTAGAAGCAATTTAAATAATAATTTAGCAATAAAAAGGTTAAAATAATTTAATAGGATAGAAATATAGACTATTATAATAGTAAAGTGTTAAAAAATATAATGAATATAATGTTTTCCAAATATATCAATAGTAAATTAAGTTAATTTTTAATAACAATATCAAAAAAGAATTGGTTTTTTATATACAAAGATATAATAAATGTATCTTTTATAGTATTTATGTACAAAAACTGTAACTAACCTAGTTAAATTTTAAGCTAACCCATCTCCCTTTCATAATCCTACATCACTAATTTCATGTATATTTAATTAATATTAATGGTTAATGTGTCTTACTCTAAGCCTTCTGTTAAATGACSATCTACTCATTCATCTAGTAAATGATTATGTACTTTCTGTTGAAATTATAACTAATAAATTATGTTTTTTGTTTCTATTGTTTAGTTGAATTTAACCCTTGTGGAACAAATAATGGAAATTGCTCACATTTGTGTTTATTAAACATAAATTCTAAATATAAATGTGACTGTCCACATGTTATGCGATTATCTAAAGACAATCATACATGCATTGGTAAAAATTAAGAATATACTTTGTATAACTAGTTTTTTTTATATACATAAATATTTTGTTCTATGTTTTAGAAAATGAAATTGTTTTACTATTTGCACAAATAAATGAAATTAGAGGTGTTAATTTAGAACAACCATATTATAATGCRATTCCAACATTATTGTCTTACGATTCACAAGCTTTACTGCATGTACAAATAGATTACTTAGCTGCAGATAAGAAAATTTACTGGTCTGATTATTCTACTAACGAAATTAAAAGATCTAGTTTATCTGGTGGCAACATTGAAGTAATATTAGATACAGGTATTTTAATATTAATACTAAACTGTAGAAAATATTGATATGTTAAAAATATCTAACAAGTATCATTACAATACTCGGCTACTTCAACTGAGCTTAATATAATTATTATTACAAAATATTTTTTTTTTTTTAGGAATTCATCAACCACATGGATTTGCTATTGATTGGATGTCAAAAAATATGTTCATTGCAGTTAGTTCTGATCAAAATCCTCTAACAGAAGAAAAAATCTCTGGTGCTAGAACTATAATAGCTTGTAATCTTGACGGAGAGTATTTTACTACCATATATTCTAGCGATTGGACTGCTGAAGATACAAATAAAACTCTACAAATTGGTGCATTAGCTGTACATCCACAACAAGGCAAATTGTTTTGGACACAAGGAATGTCAAGTGGCCATCATAATATTATAATGTCCAATATGAATGCATCTTCTTCTCTAATCATTTATACAGAAAAAATAATACCTTTTGTACCAGGTTTTACTAGTAAGTATTTATAAATTTATTGATTGTTAAAAAAAAATATATATATTAATTGATTATATAGTTCTATGATTGTACTACTCTATGCTCACATGTGTTATATCTGTTTTACAAATTTATAACAGATATTTGCCCTTAACAGAACCAATTGTGTATTAGCATACTCAAGAAAATAATTTTTTGTACTTAAATATTTAATAAACTAAAATTGGTTAAACATTTAAATTCTATGAAAATTGTATACAATCACTGTTATGATCAAATGTTTTTACATCTGAGTTTTGCATTTCTAAATTAGATTAATTCACTTGATTCATTTGACATGGGTTCAATAGGAAAAAAATGTACTATGTATGTTAGACAGAAACAACACATRTTAGTTTGGCATACTCTATCAGTTATCAATCTAAAAATGGAGTGACAATTATTATTAATTTTTAATCTTTTATTTAAAATAATTTAAATTCATAAAATGTAAATTATACATTGTTCATAATATAAACAATAGTCGGCCGCCAAGTTGTGCRMATGGTATGACTTAGTTCCTGGCCTTGTGTGCCAACTTGGTAAAAGAAGTGTCTACCATTCTTATTTTGAACAGAGTATAGCTTTCATCTCTTGGTTGAAGCTTAGTAGATGAATATTCAATAAATGGTAAGCAAATGGTACCGCTCTTCTGTACAGTAGTTATTGAGTTTATCATTGTAATGAATATGTTATATTTAAATTCAATGGATAAATCATTGCTTAGAAAAAATAATTTTGATCTGTGAAATTATTGTCATCCCACCTTATTTGTATCTACTATATAATATAATCAAATTAAATAATGAAAAAAAAAATCAATTAAAAATTGAAAATATTCTTTGGTTTTACTTAGCTGTAGCATTCTGGTGAACTCTTATTTTTTTGAACTTGTGGGAAATCTTCTATTAAAATGTATAATGTTAAATATCAAATAAAAATTGTTTGAGAATTTCTAACAGATAAATAATTTGCAAATTTTCAGAATTTTGATAAATTTTGTTGACATATGAACTTAAAATCCATATGAAAAATAGTGCTTATGTATCTTAATGATACTCAATATTTTTCATCTATAAGGAAAATCTCTAAATCATAAATATGTTTTTATTAATTAGTAWCTATGACAACAAAAATCTTAAAAAAAATTGGTCAGAAAAAAAAACGTGGATCTATCCTATAAACATATTGATGTTAAAAGTTTTTCATAAGTATTGAATTATATTAACTAAAATAAATTAAATTACATTATGTGTTT